TAAATTACTTTTATTTTATATTAGATATCTCTAACAGCCAGTAGTGTCATCACTGGGTTAATTTAATGCAGCGTACCCGATACCGGGCCAACAAAATAAATTAAAGGTTGACTACCACAGATAGGGCCAAGTAGGGTCGATTTTCAGACGAAGTTGCGGTTGCAAGCGATATAATGTATCGCGAGCCCCCGGCCCGGAGCAGACAAAAAACGGGGTGGTTTTTGGTCAGTAACGAGTCTGTCCAGCCATTTGATGATTTTGCCATTCGGGCGAAATATTTCTATTACTACTTACAACTTTCTTTGTTTGGATTGCGAAGAGAATCATTTTGAAAATAAATACTTTTCAGTTATAAAACTTCTTACTTCTCATGAATGAACGTTTTATTAGTAGGACAATCTGGGAGATTTGCCAGCCAGCTACTTAATCACGTCATTACATCTACTTGATCCACGTAGGCTCTGTTGGTTATAGGCGCGAGTAATTGAGACATATTGAGATTTACTCATCATACTTATAAAGTAATATCGACGCTTTTTTAACGTTTCCGTGACTTACTAAAATAGACATTAAATCTATTTATATTTGCTAAGAATAATAGTAGAGAAGATATTTTTATGTAATTACTAATTATACATAATCTGCTATTCCTTAAAGGTCACGGTACATTAGGTGTACAGGTAACATAGAAGAACACCAAAATAATTATCACGAATAAAAAATGTTAAAATATGTGACTTTATTCAACAAATAACGCAGTAGTATAGCAATTAAAAAAATATGTAAGTAAATAGTTTTACCAGACGCTGCGTAATTTAATAACCTATAGAGGTGTCAATCTCAGTGGCAATACTCATTTCGTTCCAGCCATTACCTAAGTTAACTAGTTTAATTAAAAAAGTCTCAGCTCTGACAATTGGGAACTACCATTATGAGTACCTACAGTCTTGAATCGCACACAAATACACGTGGGTTACGAGAGAACTGTCCCAAGAATTGAATATATATTTATTGAGAACGTTTACTTCCTATGCACGCATGCTGGCATGCACGTGCAATTTATAAACTAGCCGATTCGAGTCACACCTACGCACAACCTTGGCCGCTACCAACATAATAATATTATTGTTTGTTTTGGTCTGTGGTTCACGCGTTTACGCGGACCATTTAAAAATGGAATACTAATAATTTTTTTTTCTAATAAACAAAAACAGTGTGAATGTGACTGACCGCCATTTTGTTTACCAAACAGTTATTATCCGGCCCTCTGTTCATTGTTGATTCGTCCTTTAGTTCACGTTCAGCTGTTATTATTGTAATGTTTAACTTTCTCCGTGTTTTTGTTTACTTTGCTCTCAAGCTTGGACGGTTTGTTATACGATCGACATATTGTGTGATCTCTTTTATTTGGCTATTTGCTTAATGATTTTCTACTTGTATTCTAGTCCAACTGTATTCATAGTACTTATAATAAATTATAGACAAATTAATTATCCTGTACCCGAAAAATAAAATAATAAAATACGTTTCATACAAGGATTTTTTTAATTTTATTTTTAGATGCCAAAACACAGGTAATCAATAACCAAAAACATCGAAATATCATCAAATTCAAACATTCATTAACATAAACATCTTGTTAGGTAGATCCCATTATGTGAGGGGTGGCTCTATGAATATTTACATAACGGAGCGCGTCAAAGGTTCAATAACACAAATATTGTCTATTGTTGGAATTGTTCCCCGTCGTGCTGGCATTCGACGTCATACCGAGACATCAGCGGTTGAAGGGCTTCGTAATCTAGGGAAGACCGTGCGCCATTACAAATAAAAGGGTTAATGTTCCCGTTTTATTGCGTTTATTACACATGTAGGCGTATACTGCCTTGCCGTGGAATTTATCAATTTTCTGGCTATACAGAAGATTACCGAGGAGTAAGCGCATTCCATGTTTCTAAATTTGAATTAAGTATGACAGGTATAAAGTCAGATTTAAAAAAAGAATTTATTTTTACTTTTATTTTGGTATTTAAATTTAAAATTCGGTAAATTAATATTATTTGGTAATATTTTTAGTAGGATTTTTTCCTCATGGTGAAGGTAATGTGACGATGTGTGTGTGTGTGTGTGTGAATGTAGGACATTGTATACTAGATAACTCAATGTAATTTTATTATTTGCCTGCATAGGTATTACCTACTTATGTTATTTATTGAAGTAGGTACCTACGACAATGAAACAAAGCATTATTTATTGTTAACATTCATATAAATAAGTACGATTTAAACATTTACAATTTATAATATTTACTTGTGTATTTATGTCTTACATAGGTACCTACATTGTAAATTTTATTGTCCTTAGATTTTTATACCATCGATTGTTTCCAATTTTATTACAAAATATTTATTTTTATCTCTTTTTTTTTATTAATATCACGTCTGTGATAGGGAATTTAAACATTTGATATGGATAAAATGTATCCATTGATAAGTGATATTCTTTATATATACGTACCTTTATTATAAGAACGTAGGCAAAGGTAAATAAATCTTAAGTCTATAGTTATAACTTGCACATTTGCACCACAGATGCGGGTCGCCTATCCACCGCATTGAAATGATTTAGGATTCTATGAAATATTTCAAAGCGAACTATTCTCGCCTTCAGAGATAAAAATAAAACTCCAGGTGCAAAATATATGACAACAAATTACCTACAACAGTTACCTATTTTATCGTTCTGTTATTTATTGTTAAAAACCGTGTAAAAAATGTCATTGTCTCGAGCATATAACGTTATTACGTTTTACAGCGAATTATTATCAACGAAATGTTCTGCATTCCAATACAATTTATCTACTAGTCAAATTCAAATTTCGAATTATGAATTGTCAGTGAAAATGAAACTTTCTGTTTTATTTTTAAATTCTTTGTAAGAGTTGCACTCAATTTTATTACTCATTAAATTTCATAATTCATTCATTCGAATTCTTCGCATTTACCTAATACAAAACATAAATATAAATTACCTTAATTATTATATCGCGAACTCCGAAGGTTTTATTCAAATTTCACGATTACGTTACGTATCACGTTTCGTATCACTTATTTACACAATCTCTACAAACACGTCAGTCTCCGGTCACCAATTCTAACAAACTGGCGTTGTAAACGGTGCGTTTCCGACGAAGTTGGTAATCTTATACAGTCTGTGATAATAAAATTAAAAAAAAAGGAATAAGAAAATAAATAATACGTCGTTGCAACGTTTTACGGTCAACGAATACCTACTACTATCCTACTCATGTTATTAATGTGACAGTTGGTAGGATGTCTAAGTTTTTAACACTTTTCGCTAAAACTGCTGAGCCGATTTGCATGAAATTGTTCTTAGAGAATCCTTTTTATACCTCGGATCAGGTAAAGCCGCTGGCAGCAGCTAGTGCGATAAATGCGTTTGTATTCAGTAACTAAGTTAACTAAACTTCATTAGGTAACGACTAGACTCCATGACATTAACAACTGTTAATTAAATAGAAAGCACTTATAGTAATTAATTGTGAGGTTTTATTTACCTACACTACGGTTTGCACGTGGAATTTCTTATCTCATTTTCGATTACAATGTTGCTCTGTGAGAAGTTAAGATGACATAGGTACTCACATTGGGTATTATTAGCGTTGATTTTAGTATAATGACAAGACAAATGTTTTGTTGTAAACTGTATAGTAGGTACGGGACCTATGCTTCGGTTTTGCAACCTCACGTGGTATTCGCATTCGTAACATTTTTCTAAGTGCTAGTAATATGTCTGTGTGTTCCATACCTTATTTGTTATACCTGCCCCTTGGAGAATAAATTGCGTGATATTACGTATTAAGTTTTTAAATTTATAAAATGTCCTAACTTATCGTTACAGCCATAGATTATACACTTATTTGGCTATATAGCACAGATAATAATGAATTAATAAAATGACCGATATCCATTTCCATTGTGTTTAATTTACCTGTCAAGGTTATCCATTTGTAGGTCGCCGCGCACCAGTCGGTCGTCGAAAGCAATGAATAAATTCGCTTTTTTACGAAAATACGATTTAAACAAATTCTTTTATTACGAATTGGATGTTGGAGAATTCGTTTAATGTGATCCTACATGATATTTTTGTAAGTAAAAAGAAATATGCGAAAGTGTCATCAAATTTGGCATTAAATAATTTAAAGTTTTGATGAGGAAAATAAGCTAAAAACATAATAATTCTAATGTAAACAATAGAGGAAATGATATTACTTATCAACAGTACTCACGTATCTGGGTTTTACAGATGTTAACAACATTTTACACACACTCATACCTTCATTATAAATAAAAATAAATAAATTAATAACAGATTAATAGGTGGTTTGATTTATCCATTTCATCGACAAAATCATGGCCACCTAGAATTTGTGAAGTGTTAGTGAAGTCGAAAATCTTATCAAAACTTTTTTTGTGGTTTGGACACTGTGCTTTGTAGTATTTTATTCATCCAATATTATTTATTATCAACAGGTTAAAAACATTTTTAGGTCAATTCATTGATACAATTTTAATAACAGTAATAGTTGCACTCTGTTATAGTTACCTAGTATTTCCAATATTCAGTTAATTCTAGACACCCAATTTCGATTTATGAATATATTTCGATTTCTTAATTTAGCAAAATAATATTTTAATAACGTTTTAGAGTTCCAAAATGTATGCTAAAAGTAAGTAAATATTTGTTATTTATTTACCCATTGCTTAATTTTATTATTTTATTCTGGGTCTAATGTATTTAGGTAAGTAATTAAAAATAATAATTAGTTATCGGACCGTATTTCTTACGATTTCTTTTTAATATAGGAAGGTAACTACATAATTATTAGATAACGTAGGAACTTTATTAACTTTTTTATATATATGAAATCAAAAAATGACAAATATTTAATATGAACACTAAATAGGTAACTTACTTACCTTGTGTAATTTAAGTTTCCACTTCTTACTCGATTTTATTTCCCGCCAAAAATTACGCGAGCTGACGTGCAGCAACTTTCGTTTCAAATCACTCACTGCGGTAGTGGACTGAACTACTGAATGAAGGCTGACGACCTCAACTTAGTATTTATTTCAAACTGATGAAATATTAAAATGATGATGGTGTACACAAAAGTTACACTTAATATTTTATGCAATCGGGTAGCATTCATAAATATGTCTTACAAATAATCACTAGACAAACAAACTACTTACATGCACAACACAACCGTGTAAATCTGTTTGTCTTGGTTTTTGAATCAGGAATTCGTCGTATTATTTACAATAAATAAAATTGTGGCCTCTATAAATAGAACAAATCGCTAACTGAAATATAAAGAAATTAGCGGCGCTCGTTTATTACATACTAATAATAGGATTTGTTTGCTAAGAACTCGTGTGCTGGCAATTAACAAGAATAACAATCAAATAGATGTGTGTACCTAATCTTTATTCAGTTTAGTTCGACAAAAATATAAATGTACCCATTACAATGATTCACGATTTTTAGATATAATATTAATCAACAATACAGATCGTCAATCAGAATTAATATATTATTTTGGCATTGTGCTCTTAATATCGATTTGAATTTTATATTCCTAATCGATTAATACAAATCGATAGCAACAACTTGTCAGCACTATGCTCATGTCAAATGAAACAGCGGCATTAATTTTCTGTGAGCTGGTGCTACCAGAATAGAAAATAGCAGTAGAAATAACAAAAAAATCTTACATCTTGATTTACTTATAGCTCGATCATCTTTTTTATTAAAGTTAAATACATACGAACATTTTCTTAGATATATAGTAAAACATTTACTGTTGAGTTTGAAATATATAGTATGACAAAATTTTTACGCGTTTTTTTCAAATTTTATGATTTTAACTGGCAACTTTTGAATTGTCTTTTTCAATATTCGTGAAAAAGCTCGTTGTATCGTATTGAGCGATTTCGAGCATTTTGCGTTTAACTATTGTTATATTTTGTGATATTTGTTCGTCTAATCTCATATTTTAGTTGTAAGAGCTAGTTGTTATTAAAAATAACGTCAAACCAAAGTGGTATTACTTTTAAGTTCACAAGTGTATTACTGACAGATCGATTCGGCGTTGCGAAGTTGCAGGTTATATATCGAAATATATATAGTTTCAGTTGTTAATTAGTTGCAAATCATCGAAATGGAGAGCATGGATGTAGCACAAGAAGGAACGTCAGCAGCGTCGACGCCCGCAGGGGAAAATGGTAAGAAAAGTTTTGTTTGACCTGACGGCTTGGGTGTAGGGAAACGTGCTTCGGTTTTTTACACCTTTTTCTGTTCTTTTGTGCTGTAGGCCCTGATAAGAATGTTACGGCGGAAGAGATGACTTCTAGGGACTACTACTTCGATTCTTACGCACATTTCGGCATTCACGAAGAGATGCTGAAAGACGAAGTCCGAACGCTCACATACCGGAATGCTATGTACCACAATAAGCATTTGTTCAAGGGAAAAGTAAGTATCTACTTGTAAGTTACTAAAATGCTACATGCAACTAGTTAAGACCCTATATTAGTGCATCCTGGGTTAGCAACAGTAAGCACCTAATCTCTTTGTTACTAACCCATGTTTTTTGAGGTGTATTTTTATAACCTAAAATTTTGACACATTGTTTACATTTTATTTTGTTAAAACTCATTTTGATATCAATAGTCTTACTAAAAGTTGTTTATTATCAAATTGTTTAATAAATTTACTGAACATTATAGCAGAAATCTGTATAATTTATTATAATGATGGTGATTAAAAATTTGGCGCCATTTTACTGATAACAATATTTTTTTAAACTTATTCTTAATCTTTTGTGGTACACTAAAGATATTTGAAATTGTCTGTTTAGTGGTAATAATGTTATATATTGTGTCACGCAATACCTAAAGAGAATTATAATTGAAGCATGAAATTAAATGTTACTCAACAACCATTTAACTTAGTACTTACAAAGTTATATAAAACCTTGAATAAAAAATCATAGAAGTCAGCGTACACAACAATAAGTGAAGAATTATTCATGTATTAAATGTATGTTGTGTTTCTCAGCTATTAAAACCTTTTTTTTAAAGCATTTGCAATGTGTCTGGATTGCCACTATGCATCACATTAATTATATAACATAATACATAATGTTGATTGGGGTGTTTGAGATCATAATGATGGTGGTACATTTTTTATGGATATAATGTCAATTTATCAATTTTTTAGACTGACAGTAACTTAACCTTAGCTGTTGAAACATGACTGAAATAGCTGTAAGGCCAAGTTTGCAATACCTTAAAGGGCTTATTTTTCAATGGTTAGATAAAAGTTACCTGGATGCTGTCACATTGGAATGTTTGCAGTTGACAGTAAGATAAAAATTATCTGACTATTGAAAAATCAGCCCTAAATAAAATAAAAAATTATACAAATTAAAATAGTTCTTCATGCATGTAACAACAGCATAATAATTCACTTCTTCTCTTCAACAGACGGTCTTGGACATTGGTTGTGGTACGGGCATCCTGTCCATGTTTGCAGCTAAAGCTGGTGCAGCTAAAGTCATTGCTATTGAGTGCTCCAACATTGTAGACCATGCTCGCAAGATCATTGAGGCAAACAGGCTCAGTGATGTCATTGAGATTGTTAAAGGAAAGGTGAGAATGCTTTTTCAATTGCTTTGTTAAATTACATACTTTATTTCTTTTAAACACTTTGTACATAAATAATAACGCTTAATGGAACTTTTTTTATGTGATAGAATGGCAAACAAGCTTGCGGATTAGCTGATGGTAAGCAATCAGCGCGACCAATGGACACCTGTAACACCAAATGAGTTATTATTACGTTGCCGGCCTTTTAGGGATATGGGTTTCGGATAGGGTTAGGAAGGGTTGGGGCAGGGGGAGGGATTTGGTCTGGTAACCTCATTTACACGGCGAAGCACAATGGTGTGATTATATCACGCTAGTTCTTTTTGAGGCCGTTGTATCACTCCCGTCGGTCCGACCCATTCTTGCCAAAGCATGGCTCTCCCACACTTTCCCTTATGGAAAGATTCTAGTATAACTCCTTTGCTATTCCCAGAACATTTGATTTCCTGTTCTATTCAGTTCCATTAATGCAACCATACTACACCTTTTTTTCAAATTCAAATCAGTTGCCAAATCAATAATTTATAAGCATGTAAATCACTTTAAATCATAATATTAATGTATTTCTTTGTACCAGGTTGAGGAGGTAGAGCTTCCTGTAGAAAAGGTTGACATTATCATATCGGAGTGGATGGGCTACTGTCTCTTTTATGAGAGTATGCTGGACACTGTGCTGTATGCTCGTGATAAGTGGCTCGCGGCTGACGGCATGCTCTTCCCAGACAGGTAAGGAAACATCTTTTGTTGAGGAAATTTTTCTAACATGATCAACACAGTATTACTATTTTACTATTGGAGATGGGCTGACTGAAGTTTTAATTAAAACACTTTAAAATTCAATGTTCCAGAGAGTCTATGAAATATACATAAGCCTTGATATATTGACTTTCTGTAGACAAAAACTTACAATGTTTAGGTTTCAAGGTGATGTTTCTTTGTGCTATCAAAAGTATAATGTGATCAATGAACATTTTATTGGCACATTCAAGTTACAATTAGTCATACAAATACATTGCCAATTATTGATACTTTGTAATGACTTTGATTGAAATTGTTTTTTCAGTTATCTTGTGCTAGAATTATAATTGCAAGATAAAGTTGTCATTATATTAAGGCTAAATACCGCATTTGAAATTTAGTTCTATCCAATACTGTTATTGAAATACTAGCGGTCGATGATGACTAGATGTCGATTTTACACCTTTTCTGGACTTCCACGAATATTGAAGACGAAAATTACAATATTGGTCAGCCATTGTTGTAAACGAAAAGTGGCATTAATTTTCTATGAATTTTGAATACAGACTTGTGACCACATTGACTTATTACTTATTTCTAAGGAAGTAAACTATTAATCCAAATGTATCACATTTTTTTTAGTTTATCTAAAAAAAAAATACTTTTAACCTTTTGACTTAAGAACCTATAGAAATAAAAAAATACTTGTGATGTGATAATTTCGACTTGCTATGCCTTGTGTGGCTTCTGGGTACTCTCATTTACATAAAGATCCGTAATACGCGGTAACTGAATAACTGGCTGGCGTGCAACGTGTCGCGTGTTCGACTCCCGCACAAAAAAACTCTTTGTGTGATTGACAAATTACTGTACCGGTTCTAGTTGGGCTGTATATGTATAGGAAATTTTATGTTTGTAAACGCACACACGACACAGGAGTAAATCTCTAGTGTCTGGCAACGTCGAAAAAACAATTATTCCTATTGAAATTTCTTTAAAAGATTTTCATCTCTTCTCTACTATTCTTTTGAAGTATCTCTACAACATGTAATTTTGTCAATAGATGCACACTGTTCATCTGCGGTATTGAGGACCGTCAATACAAGGATGAGAAGATCAACTGGTGGGATGATGTGTACGGCTTTGACATGTCTTCCATCAGGAAAGTGGCCATCTCTGAGCCGCTAGTGGACGTTGTTGATGCTAAACAGGTGAGTTTGAAATTAATAAAAAGATCGAAGCTTCTTCATGTTTTAATGTCGACAGCGAACTTCTAACATGTCCCGCATTGCGGGCCCGTGCGATTATCATTTTTGCTTGTTTGAAATATTAAAAATATTTTAATTCCGACTTTTAATAATATAATTAGTGTCAATAAATATGTAAAATGATTTTGTGACAATATTTTCTAGATAATGCTAATTGCATTTACAATAATTAATTTGTTATTTCAGGTGGTGACCAACTCTTGCTTATTGAAAGAAATAGACCTTTACACAGTCAAAAAGGAAGATCTTAACTTCGAATCCAAGTTCCACCTTCAGGTAAGCACTCACTCTGAAAAACATACTTATTTAATTTAGGGCTGATTTTTCCACAGTCAGATAAATGTATCTGAGGAATAAAATTGTTGCTGTCATTGTCTTATAGAAACACAAGCATTTGCCCGCGACTCCTTTCGCGTGGAATAATGACGTCCTGCAGATTTTTGGTATAAAAACTATCTATGTCCTTTCTCGAGTTCCAAACTATGTCTGTACCAATTTTACAGAAATCGGGTCATTAGTTTAGGCGTGAAGAAAAGATGGACAGACAGAGTTACTTATATCAGTACAGATTCTGATGCGACAGCAGCATAATTATTCTCCAGGTCACCTTCATCTAACGATTGAAAAATCAGCCCTTAAACTTGTATAAAAATAATACTATGAGCCTGATCTCGTCTTGCATAATGCACTGTATATTACAATAGGGAGTCGTGTTTCTATTTTAATAGGAATTAAGATAATCCAATAATATTTTTCTAGTTCTTACGCAGTTGCATTCAAATATAATCCTTTATGTATCCAGGTACGTCGTAACGACTTCATCCAGGCTCTAGTGACATTCTTTAACGTGGAGTTCACGAAGTCTCACAAGCGGCTCGGGTTCAGCACGGCGCCCGAGGCTCCCTACACGCACTGGAAGCAGACCGTCTTCTACTTCGACGATTATATGACTGTAAGTATCTAAGTGACTTAATAATGAATAAACAGACATTATAATCGTCAGCGTATTTAAGCCTATAGCAGTGCAAAATACCTTCTCACACAGATAAGGATTCAGAATTTATCCTAATACTCAAATGTTCTATAAAAAGTCTAAGCTTCCTAGTGGTAGGAATGGGTAAGGATGTTAATGTTTAGTCTTTTTCGTCGCAAACTTAGCAAAACCTTTTAAACACAGGTAAAGAAATTCGAAGAGATCACAGGCACGTTTTCGATGCATCAGAACGCGAGGAACAACCGCGATCTTGATTTTGAGATAGAAATCGATTTCAAAGGCGAACTGTGTCAAGTTCGAGAGAAGAACCACTACAGGATGCGCTGATCTAGCAGCAGGCCATGGCGCTACATGAAAACCAGCCTTCATAATTACCGGTACACTTCATGAATACAAGACTCCTTTACCACAAAGCCTCATTTCTTACTGGTCAAATAACCCATCATTTATACCTGTACCTTCAATATCTATGTATGTATGTCCAATACGTAAAAATTAAGTGTTTGCCACTGGCATACTTAAAAAATACAAATTAAAATCTATTCTGTGTAACAAGTCATAAAGATTAACTTTGATTGGAACTGTCAAGTTAAAAAGCGATGTTTAGTATTTTGATCTTCTGTTCTTTTTCTACTGAAAATTAGCGGAAAATCGAATTGACTTTCTTGTCGTTAGCAAAATGGTGTGAACTAGATTTTTGGCAATGCTTACACACCTGTATTTCGTAGTGGTAAGGGCTATGGTCGCTTGTCTAAAGAAATTTGTGTGGACATAATTTTTTTCACATGATTTTTTATCGTTATATAATATTTTTTTTGTATAAACCTAAGGCTATATGTGCCTGCTAATTCCATTACTATTTGTTGGAGAATGGCTAAATTCACCCTGAAGCAAGTCTCTAAGATGGATGCGATTTCATTTATCATATAAATGGCCTAACTCTAGTCTTTTCTTGCATGTTTTACAATTGGTAGTTTTTAAACAATTTGACCTGGTGTCGTAATTAATTGACTTTTTTCTACAGCAGAGCTGCTAATAGGTCAATGTTAATTTTAGTTAGGCTGTTCCTATGAAAGACTTCTGTCATTTTGAAACTGTGGTAATTCATCATTGTTCCTTTATGTTTCCATCTACATTTTTTGTATGGTTCATGTTGTGAACCTTAATGTTTAAGATATCATTGTCGCTTTGTATATAAGGGCAAATATATAAATGTCCGAAGGCTGGTAACTATAGTAAACGAATTTTGTAATACCATGAATATTAAGAAATAAAATGGTCGCTGAGTAAATTTTAATTAATTAAAATCTAGGTTGTACCAACTCACTTTATTCATTCAGTGTATAAGTACTTTGTTTCTGTGTGATACGATAATTTTTGTTTTTGATATGTTTCATTGATGTATGCTTGAGTGGTCACAGATCTAAATACAATGTGCAGTCTAGCTAGAATGTTTATTTCTATATTATAAAATAAGGTTAACATTGCAATAGTGATCGTTTTAGTGTGGACGAATCGAATACGCAATAATCGACTAAATATTTGATAAATAGGCGATTGTACCTTTCAGTATTTTTGTTTGTTTAATTGTCGGTTTGAATAGAGTGAGTTGGGGACGTTTGACGATGTTTAAGAGCTAAGTAAGGTATCTCACTTCTGTATGACCGCCTAAAGGGTCCCGACAATGGGAATTAAATATATGTAGAATTATAGACATTCATTACACTGTTATACTTGTACTGAGACTTTGACGTGTTGATGGCAGTTTTGAACGTTGAAAATTAATATCCACAAGAACCCAGTAACTGTAGTTTTGCTATACATTTTAATACGTGTTTTGTATCCCCATTTTTATTGAAACATAGTATGGATGGGTCCTGGTGGATTTTGCGCCAGTTATGTTTAATTTAAAAACAGAATGCAGATATGGGCAGTCTGTACTTCGTTAAACAGATAATTGGACTGATATTCGTAATAATTGCTACCTAAAAATAATATTGATTCGAATATTCGCAAAATGTTGTATAAAATAAAGTTATACGAGTTTGTCTTATCTATTGATAGCAAATATAATTTAGTGAGGCTCTCTATTCTAAGCATATTGTGGAGTTTTCTAAATTTGTTTATAAAATCTCATTCTTTTTCCTAGAAGATGTAATTACGTACTTAACACCGAATGTGGTTCCAAGTTTTGATTCCATTGCGAATGATTCAGTAAGACCAGTTTACGGAAGATTAAAAAAAAATTGCTCAACATTGCCCCAAATTCGTTCAAAACTGCTATTAACAAAAGATTGTAGTTGAATGCAGCACTCCATGTAATAATATAATAAGGTTGATTCAGCCTCTCATGCCAATGTGCCACTCGGTGGCGTTATCTTATTTCAACAGTTTAGCGACTGTGTATGGTGTACGTATATTTGTGGTGCATTCATGAATAAGTACCTATAAGGAATGGGTTGTTTTATTTTTGCGCCTCTCTATTTGTAGATAATCCCCTATTATTTAGATAATCGACATCGATCCTCGCGTCAACGTTCCCATCCCTATCATGGATGGTTAGAAGTCAACGGTACGATTTCTGCGAAACTTTCTACCTCGCACAGCAAAACATAGGAATAATCTTTTGGCGGCTATATTCTTAACACATTCAGTGCCCCCGACGCGTATGTGCGTGCGAGGAAACGCACATACGCGTCGGGGGCACTGAATGTGTTAAGCAAGCATATTCTTTTAGGCTGACAATGCGCCTGCGACTTCTCTGGTGTTCTAGGTGTCAATGGGCGGCGCTGATCACTTACCATCAGGCGATCCAAATATTCGTTGGCCAGTGTTGTGAATATTCCAAACGATCGTAGTAATAATATTTTATCTACACAAACTCAAGTTGGTTTTATATAGTGTTTTGTTAAATGAAATAACTATAAGTTTTGTAAAATGGATATATTGACTATGATTTTATTTTTCTTATGAATTACAAGCTATTTAAATCCCGTTGCATCAAACTAAACAAGGAAGCTTGCTGTCTGGTAAACTATGAAATCTTAAGAAAAATCTACAGTAAAAAGCAAGTCTTATTAAAAACCATCACGTACATCTGATATTTAAAATACCTGGCTAAATTATCTTGTTAGCAATCTTTTCTTCAAAAGTTTACATGTTACAAGCATTGTAAACGAAATATTTTCTACGACTTTCATGAGAACAAACTTTCTCACAAACTGTATAAGCACCTACATATTATCAGTTTGATGCAATCGGGAATGTAACAGTTACACAAATTACGATCTTATAACTACATGAATTAGGTCGATTACACAGCAACAGCCGGTACGACGGGTGCGCCTTGCGGGTTATTCTTGTATAGGTCCACACAGCAGCAGTTTGAGATCAGGTCGTGTTCCTGGCAAGAGTTCGCATACAGGAACTTGCAGTCAGTCTTGCCACAGTAAGGGTTGACTGGAAAATTGAAATGAGCAAATATTACAGGTAAGTATTTTCTTGGAAGTGTTTTCTCTTCAAAACTTAGTAGGAACATTAAGTCTGTCGAGCAGTTTATGATTGCGATAACAATATTGTAAACATTTTGGGTTGGTGGTGATAGACGTTCAGTGTAGTTAATTATTGCTGTTCTATATAAATCTTAAATTAGAACAAAACCTGAATTGGTTCGCATTGAACATTATTGTTAACTAGCTTTTGCCCGAGACTTGTTCGCGTGGTATAGTGACTTCCTGCAGAGTTTTGGTTCAAAAACTATTCTATGTCCTATCTCGAGTTCAAACTATGGCGATGCCAAATTTCACACGAATTGGTTCAGTAGTTTAGGTGTGAAGAAATGGCAGACAGACAGAGTTACTTTCGCGTTTCAACGACGTCAGTAGTTACGCCTGTGCAATTCATGTTAGCAATTAAATGTCAGTTATGTATTATAACATTTTTTGTACAAGTATTTATCAATATCAACTTACACACAGAACCGCAGCAGCATGCATCGTGAGCCTGCTTTTGGTAGCAGTAGCTGTACACTGAAGAGTCACACAGGGGGCATCCGGGGTGGGCCCCAGGTGGTCCGGGTGGGCCGTAATGACCCTGTCCGTAATGCCCTTGTCCATACTGCCCCTGTCCCGGGTAGTAGCCGGGCCCCGTCGGATACGGGTAGTTGCCATAGTTGCCTCCTAACAAAAAGTCCAGTACTTCTCTTATTCCGAAACCTGTTGGTGAATGTTAGATGATGATGATTGTTAGGTTGTATACCGATGCGATGGGCCCTTGAGTTTGGTGAAGTATATAAGTTGGTGAACCCATTAATAGTTAGGTATGTAGGTATGTAGTGCTTGTTTTGAATGACAACATGATTAATGCGCGGTGTAGGGTATCTTATAATGGTGCTTATGTGATTATGTTAAATAAGTAAGCACTAAGTTGATTAAATAAACATTATAAACCGATTTATTTGTAGGTAGCTTCTATAATTTTGCCAATCAATGCCGCATTTTACCTACTTATTGTCATGAAAATCAAACTCTAGCTAGTGTGACTTGAAATTAGTCGAATTATAGATATTAAACTAATGTTGAAAATACATCAATTTTGGAAACCATAAAAGTAATCGGAATGTGTGAATGATTTTGTTTATTTTTTGTTTGGACTAAATTGTGTTATAAAAATAATACGAACGCTTAATTCACACGATTCACATACGAACAATAACGATAAATTTAAAATAAGTAGACCTTGATTTTACATGCAGTTTGAGTACAAATCGCCCTTAACTATATGGGAAGCGAATCACTCATTAGTACGTTTGTTTAATAATATTATTTCTCAGTAATGTGAAACAGATATGGATCTTATAAGTTAATTAATTCGCATCTGAGTAATTGTAGAACAATATCAGTTTTAATAGACAAAAATTAAGAGTACCGGCGACCTTGCAATGTTTCCTTATTTTGGTAATTAGTCTAGGTTTATAATTAACGCTACTTTACCATGACGTGTATTCATTGTGAAGATGACACGTTGGTTTTTTTTTACGCAGAAAAAAGAGGACAAGTATCTATAATGTAATTCATTGTTTTTTTTTGGTTGTCTACGTAAATAGGCGATGAGATGAGAAGGTCTATTTTCAGTCAAGTTTGTAATAAATTACAATTAGATATTTATAATGGATATGATTCTTCTATTATTATCTATGCTTGGTACTAAGGTTTATTAGGTTTAGGGTATCTACCTACCGGCTATCTTTCAGAACAATGTACCTATGTAGCAGAGATTATCAGTAAGTCTTTGAATTAACATTGATCTGGATTTAGGTAGGTATCCAAAAAGATTTAGCCGGTTTTATTCGTCATTTTTTGGTATAGCAACATAATACTTATGTAAATTACCAAAGGTAACAACATATAATTACAAGAGCATAATGTTTTGATAAGTAGGTACCTACTTACATAACTATGTAAGTTTTCTGTTTACACGTAAAGCACTGAATATTAATGTGTCCCTTCGTCCAGCATACTCACCATGGAATCCTGATATTTCATGAATGTCAAAAAACTGTTCTGAAATAGTGCTAAATAGTGCCCAAAGGAAAAAAATAGTGCTCTTGTACTTGCGAAGTTATAGCCATAGTTCGATGAGTATGCTGGACGAAGGTTTCGCCCAGCATACTCACCTCCGTCCGGAGAATCTGTATACGCTTCAAACATAATTCATACTTCAAAAAATAGTTCCCAAATAGTGCCAAACGCTGCCCAAAAAGAAAAAACAGTGCTCGAATAACTTCGGGGTTATAGGCTTCGTTCAGCGAGTATGCTGGGCGTAGGTTCTACGCCCAGCATACTCACCTCAGTGCGCGAATATCGAACGAGCTATAGGTACAACTTACGTCTCAAAAAATTGTGCTTGAAATAGTGCCCAATATCAGTCCAATTTTTGCTTGACTTTTGATCTAGAAAACCATTAAATTTGATTGTAAACTTCTACATACATTACATTGAGTACAGTCGAATACAATATTATTAACTTTCTTTCTAACAATTTTTGTCTTGTGTAAATTATTAATTGTCTATGTAAGGGAGTATTTACTTTAGAATCGCAATATTATTAATTACACATTATTTTAATAATACTTTATAATAATATGATTAGGCCTTTTTCTATTTACATTGATTATATTATGAATGTTAACAAAAGCTGTGAACTAGTTAACTAGAATTCTGATTACTTTGGCCCTTTAAATAGTAATAAATAACGTAAGTAATTAAAAATGTTTTTTATTGCTAAACCTTTCATTGATGAAACTATTGGAAAGAGTTTTAAAAATTTGTATAACTATGTCACAGTACTAGTTTTGACTGGTTATAAGTTTTGCCTGCAACATATATACAAAAAGAAACTGTATAATTTCCTTTTTACAATTTTTCAAGATATTAATTTTATTGGCTGCAAATGACTGTTTTTATTCAGACAAACACACAATGCAATGAAGTAATAGACTTCATTTACGCTTAAAGTTTCATTCATTTATTATTATTTATAAAATATATAATAATGCATTTAATCGAAAGTTTTTGACATGTGAGAAAATACCATAATTATTTCCAATAACATGAAGTCTACAATTAGAAAGTTTAATATTTTTGTCCAAAAACATGTGTCGACGACTGTACCCCATTTTACGTTAGTATGTAGAAGTTTACATTAAAATTTAATGGTTTTCTAAGTCAAAAGTCAAGCAAAAATTGGACTGATATTGGGCACTATTTCAAGCACAATTTTTTGAGACGTAAGTTGTACCTATAGCTCGTTCGATATTCGCGCACTGAGGTGAGTATGCTGGGCGTAGAACCTACGCCCAGCATACTCGCTGAACGAAGCCTATAACTCCGAAGTTATTCGAGCACTGTTTTTTCTTTTTGGGCACCGTTTGGCACTATTTGGGAACTATTTTTTGAAGTATGAATTATGTTTGAAGCGTATACAGATTCTCCGGACGGAGGTGAGTATGCTGGGTGAAACCTTCGTCCAGCATACTCATCGAACTATGGCTATAACTTCGCAAGTACAAGAGCACTATTTTTTTCCTTTGAGCACTATTTAGCACTATTTCAGACTAGTTTTTTGACATTCATGAAATATCAGGATTCCATGGTGAGTATGCTGGACGAAGGGACACAATATTAATTTAGCGGAACAAATAGCTTTAAATGTCTTCCATTAATTTATTAATTAATGCTTCTAAAATTAAATTGACCTAGGTACAAATAGATGCTATTAGACACGATAGCCACTAAGCTGGGTACCTACCTACCGAAGTTTATTTAGATAAGTAGGTAGGTGTACTTAATACTTCTTTCCTTTAGTGCATTGTGCAGTGTGCAGATTATATTAATATTGTCTGTGGAAGCCGTAGGCCTTTTGCTGTAAGAGTGGAAATTTACCAAAATAATGGATTCATTCGTCTTGGACGAGGCGGGAGTGTCAGACTGTTATTGGCTAAAAACGCCGTTCCAATTTCGGCCATGATGCGGATCGAGAAGAACTGGGAAACTCTTTTCTCCTTCTGCGAATTAATGATGGTCGCAAAGAAGGTAGAGCGCGAGAGAGAGAGATATTCTCCTCAGCGACACTCCAGGCAGCGTGCTCCACACATCGTAAGCGTGGGACTGCGGCCGGTGAGCAAGGAGAGCTCACCGCCCGACCAGAACCAGACTCGCGCTCCGTGCGCGCCTCAAAGAGCTAGTAGGCCACCACAGATAGCCCAGTGTAAATGGCCAGTAGGCCCAATAGAGTCGATGTTTAGCTGGAGTTGCGGGGCAAGCATAATAAGGTATCCCGGCCTGAAGCAGGAGAAGGTACGGGTGGTTTTTAGTTAGAAAGAGTTTGACACTCAATTTCGTCTCGTCCAGGTTGAGAGAAGTCATTTGATGATTTCTTGTATTGTTTAACTTAAGTTTATGTTTGTACGTATAATGTACATAACGCTAGATCACCGCTGTATGCGTATTTGTGTAACATATAAGTTTTATAAATAAAGTATAATATAAGTAGCAATATAAATTTAAAGTTAATTAAGATGGCAAATGTAATTATATAGGTGGACAAATATTATCCATGACACAACTTATAATGTCAATTCATGCAGTTAAGTTTGATTCTTTGAACCTTAATCCTTGCTGTGATACTTATATCATAAATCGATCATCTTCAATCCATTCATCCATTTAATGACATGCTTAGCTTGTTTCATGACATTTGGTAATGATATGAATCCCATGCTCATGTGTAAATGTACCAATGTATGTCAGTTTGTGAATGTGATGACAATCATAGACAACTTACCGCCCAGTTGATTTCGACTTATTTCGTAGTTCGTGGGCTGAATACCTGATTGAGATTCAAGTTCATATAACTTTCCTAATAATAAAGATCTTGATTTCTCAGTACAAGTAGATAATACTACTTAATAAAACAATATCTAATTTAGTTAGGGCTAGTTTTTCAATAGGTAGTCAGATAAATGTTAACTGAGAAATAAAATGAATGCTGTCACTGTCTTATACAAACATTCTGACGCGACAGTATCATAATTATTATTCCCCAGATAACTTTTATCTAAGTGATCAATTGATAATTGAAAACTCAGCCCTTAAAATATTTTTATGGCAGGCTTATGGTTAGAATAATTTATGTAAGTAGTACCTAAGTAGGTAAGGTATCTGAGTTTTGAAATTCTCTTTTGCACAAACATAACGGCCAAAATTTAGATATTTTGAAAAATACTTTACCTTTTTCAAATACATATTATATTAATATCCTAATTTTATATTTTGGTTTTCGAGCAAGAGGTTCTTTATCTCGTACCTAAGGGTTATCTCTAAGCAAATCTTTGTTCACAGTCGTTTTTATTTTGGTTATAAATTAGCTTGTTTGTATTGTACCTAATACCACACTTTTAAATAAATTTAAAAAACTACCAACCTTTTTCGATTTCTAAACTTTTGGATAGTTCCGTCAGATTTTTTAGAAAATATAAGTAAGTAAATAAATAGTAAAGTGGTCTACATTTATTTAAAGTTTTTACATAATAAATATTTTATAAAAGATAATTCGTTTTAAACTACTTAGGTATTGAAAATAATTTCTTACTCGTATAAATTACCGTTAACATAAAATATTCCGACATAAACAACGGTGTAGAAATATTTAAAAATAGAATACTCACCATCACTCATAGCCAGTGTTGCCGCAAAAATTATAAAGAAAACCTTTTTGTACATTTTTCCAACAAACTTATGAACGTTCACAGTAAGTAATTGAAAATAAAAATAATATTAAAGATGTAAGTTTATGTTTGTGCGTGTGTTTGGCACGGTCGCTGTTCAAGAGCGTCGTGTAAATAATAAAATAAACCACTTCGGCTTAGGAAGCTGGATTTACCGGTGCAGTCGAGCGCAAAAGTGGTGAGTCAAGATTTAGATAAAAATGTTTATGGAGAACTAGACACGTCGGATGAACTTAGTTCCTTATTTGGCAGAAAAAACTACTTTGCGTAATTAACACTGTACGTTTTTGTGACTATTGTTAGGTATTTGTGAAGTTTTTAATTCAGAGATGACTGCACGGTTGGCTCGGGGGCTGGGCAACTGGCTGCCGCGCAAGGTGTTGCGGGTTCGATTCCAGCACGCTCTTTGATCCAATAATTGTTGTTCCGGGTCTGGGTGTGATGTGTTTGTGAAATTGTATGTTTGTAAACGCACGCACCCGGAGAAAATCCTAATGTGGGACCATAAAAGATAAAAAACAGAACCTGTGTTTCATACAGCTATTTTTTTTTAAACTGATGAATAAAAGAAAAACTACCAAATAAGTTCCGAAATCCCAATAGTTTTATCAAAGGCGGTGCCACAGGGCGGTGCCCTACTTAAAAAAATAGGTACCTACTCCTGTTTGTTCACATGAGACGAAGTATTATACAAAATGTGTACAGGATTATGTATTGTGCGATTGTGTGTGATGTGTGATTTGGGTTTTTACGTCAAAGAACACACTTACACACTTATTTTTTTACAAACTTACTTACTTACTTTTATCTATTGTTAAATTAGTAAATATATTAATTGAAATATTTTTAGGTAGGTACAAGTCGAAATAATTAGTTTTTGACATAGTTTTTTGAGCAATTTCGCATGTTGTTCTTTGAGGTCATGGTATTGGTACGGTCGAGTCGACGTATTCGTGTCGCCCACACTAAACCTAATACAGCAATACTAATCCTAGTACTTTTGTTCACAACAGTACATCAAACTGCATATTACTCCGTGCAAGGGATTTTGCAGTTGTCCTTAACATCTGAACGTTCTCTATAGATTATCTAATTACGAAGGGTATGAGCAGGACTAGTCGCTACGTAATCTTATGACATTTAATGACAGGAAACCGTACCTATATCTCAAGGTTCGTTTATATCCCTCTAATAACGTAGGTATTCTAAAATAAATGCAGTTTTTAGTTTATTAGACATCATAGTAACTGTAATAAAATAAACAATTTTCTTAAAGAGTTTGTTATGGATTGGTCTTTGGTTAATTTTTTTCTAGTTTTTATGTAAGTAGGTACTTACTTTTTGAAAGGAAAAGTATAACATTTTTTGTTAAGTAAATTTTATAATTTTTTTCGTCATAACTGCTAAGGCGCGGATTTTGCCGAGTGAATTGGTTGCTTATAGGTAGGTGTCTTCCATCGTAGGTCGCATCATGGCTTACCACCAGGCGTGATATCTACTAAACGCCAGCAAATTCTCTAGACAATAGGAGTTTCTTATATATGGTTCATCGGCGGTTCCAATGATTACCCCCTATATACAAACTTACAAAATTTACCCCCCTATTGATAATATTAGTATAGACTACATAGTATAAAACAAAGTCGCTTTCTATGTCTCTGTATCCCTATGTAGGTATGCTTAAATCTTTAAAACTACGCAACAGATTTTGATGCGTCTTTTTTGTAGATAGACTGATGGAAGAGGAAGGATTCAAGTATAATAACATCCATTAAATAGTGGAGATATTTATTATCACTATTACACACGTGGCGTGCGAAGTCGGGGAGGGTCGCTAGTAAATACATAAATAAAAGTTCATAGTCCTAAAATTAATAAACGTAGTTATTTTTCATAGTATACAAAGTACGAGAAATTTTCTCCAAGCTAAAATTAAGATTATAGAGTAAAATTATTAGCAATAAATTGCCTATGTTCAATATAAAGCGCGTCTCCAAGATAATCAGCTAGTAAACAACCGGACTTTACATCTGCCAGTCCGATATCGACAGGTTTATAACGATTAAGGCTTTTATTAGGATTCCGTAGGTAAACAAAGAAACTTTTAGCGACTGTCTAGATAACTTACGAAGTACGATTGGTTTTAAAAATGTTTCTAAGTAGGTAGATACTAAATATTAATGTTTCCATTCAGATCCTGAATGATACATACACAGATAACATACTGAATGGGGAAATTTTAGGCCCAGTTTAAGACAAAAGTAAAGGTTTTAAACAGGAGACATGTGTGAATTTGGATTTGAAGACATTCTAAAATCTCCTTATTAATTCTTCTGTATTTGTAGATTCGTTACGAAAAATGCTCTTAATGCTAAAAATGGTCAAGTCCAAAATCTTGGGAAATACAGAACCTATTTTTAACTTGATAATAATATGAAAAACTTGAATATAAAATTTAAAAAAAAGAAATGAGTAATTTTTATTTTACATCATCATCATCAAGTTTGGGAGAGCCATGCTTTGGCACGAATGGGTCTGCTCGACCGGAGTGATACCACGGCCTCACAGAAAACCGGCGTGAAACAACCATAGCGTTGTGTTTCGCTGTGTGAGTGAGGTTACCGGAGGCCCAATCCTTCACGCCCCCAATCCCTCCTCCTCAAAAGTCGGCAACGCACTCGTAAATCATCCGTTGCGGTCGTCCATGGGCGGCGCTGATTGCTAACCATCAGGTAATCAGTCTGCTCGTTTGCCGATCTGTTGCCAAGACCCCAATGCTGAGCAAAGGCCTTTTCTGTGTCACAGAGAAGGTTTGAGCATTAAACTTGAGCACGAACTTAATTTAGTTTTTTTTAGATCTTGATATATAATGTAGGTATACCAGTAACATACCTAAAGAAGTATTCACGATTTCCAATATGAAAGAACTTACCTATGCCACGTAAATGCTCTAAAGGCGACTTAGTATTTCACTTAAATCACAGACGCCTTTATTCTAAGGAGGTTTTAATTCACAATGCGTCGCACAACTGATCACTTTACCAAAAGTTTACAAACAAAACATCGAATATAAAGAACCCGCATTGTAACAAGAAATGCGGCCTTAACCTATTAATAGTCTCTATGTCGACCGGGTAGAGGTGTATGACCCGCGTCTGAACCTCGGGTACCGTTCGCAAACCTGTCTCACACAAGTTGAGGTATACATTTTATTACATTTTGTTGACCACTTTGTTGTTAAATGTTTATGACGTCAGTACTTTGTGTTCTTATATGTGGCTATGGAGAAAAGTACAATTTGACATCATCTATATTCTTTACTAGCTTCTGTTGCTCCGTTTCACTCGGTGCTCGGCTGTTACAAATCGTAGCGTGATGTTGTATAGCCTAAAGCCTTCCTCGAATAATTTAGGTCCTAAAAAACACAAAAAGAATTATTCAATTTGAACTAATAGTCTTGGAGATTAGCGCTCTCAAGCTTTATAATATTAGTATACCTAGGCGAGGGAATTTCAAAACCTCAATAAGGGATAGACCAGGCCTCAGTGCTCTTTTGTTTTACCTAAACCTCCTCAATCCACTCAATACTCCAGGAGTGTACTCAGAAGGGCTGCATTTTCGTGTTTCCAAGGAAGCATACACTTTAGCAGAAGATGTGGTTTGTTAAGATTTTTTGTATTAGGTACACAGGGTTGCAAAGTTATTTGCGTTGGTTGTTAATTCCCTATTAACAACCAACGCAAATATTATATTGACGTTTCAGTCCTCAAAAAAAAATCTGTGTAGTTATTATGTACAATGTACAATACACTCTAACTGATAGGGATTATTGATTGTATGTATTACGAGAGATAGGATCATTATTATTAGGAAAGGGATCGCCTACATTTATAGTACGATACGTAGCATACCTAGGCATGGACAGATTCAGCCGTGTTGCAGGGTAAGTCCAAAAAGGTGCCGTGCCTCGGCATGGAGCAGGAAAAGGAGCGGTTTTTAGTCAGTAAGAGTCTTAAAGTCTGGGCGAGAGAAGCCATTTGATGAATTTGCCTCTCACAAAAAAGGCAGGGACAGATTAAAAAGTTACATCACAGATAAGCCATGTAGGTTTTCAAATTATGTTCTTACTGGCTACTATCGCGCTGTTTCACCCGATGCTCAGCTCCTACAGATTGTATCGTGATGTTTTATAGCCTATAGCACTCAGGAACATTGTAGCTATTTAGCAGTGCAAGAATTTTGGAAATCCGCCCAGCGGTTCCAAAGATTACCCCCTACATACAAACTTACAAATTTTACCTCTTTATAATATTAGTATAGTATTTATAGTAGGCTGCGCGACGTCGCCGCGTCCGCGCACACTGCTCATGAGGAGGAGCCCCTCTGTGGTTCGAAACTAGTAGAGCTTTTCTCAATATTTACACGTGAGTAACCCGCGATTTTTAGTTAATTTAGTATGTCTCACGATAGTTATTATAAAACAATATTAGTATAGATTTAACTGGATTAAGATTTATCATCGGACTTTAAACTCGGATGCCAAACATGAATTCTCTTAACTTATTAAGATTTTTTCCACGTCACTAAGCGCATAGCGGTCCGCACAACTAGCAACTCGTTTAGAAAAAAATTGAAAGCATCTACATTCACTTATCAAAAACCTCTTAAGCTAATCATTTATCTACTACTTAATTAGACTTTATTTTATCTGATTATAAGAGTTATTTTGCCCTACATCGTTCAATCAAATGTAAGGTACCGTTGCTAACGGTATTCGTATAAAAAGTACATTAAACTATTAATACCTTAATTGGTGTGGGTCTAATGTTCATATACGGACACCAGCAAATCAAGTTAATCTTACCTGTCTATTTTTCAATCGTATTGCAACGAGATAAGGTTCACGCTTGAGTAAAAATATGACAGGTGAGGGTAGCTTGTTGTGCAAGTAACTATACGAAGAATAGTGTTTTGAAAACTGGAAAAAAAGGTTCTATTAAGAATTGTGTTCTGATTTATTTTAACAACATATTATGTCATCAAACCCCAAGCGAACGCCGGCGTCTGTAGACCTATTGTTCTTCTATTGTCTCTCTAATTACCACGATTGAAAGGATTAGATTTACAGAAATTATTGCAGACTGCTTTACGGTTCCAAGCGCGAAATAATTTACAATCATTTATAATGTTGACTGCACGGTTGACGCGTTGGCTGGGCAACTGGCTGTTGTGCAACGTGACGCGGCTTATTCCCACACGGAACAATTCTTTGTGTGATCTACAAATTGTTTTGGATCTGGGTGTCTTGTGTATGTTTGTAAATGCACTCACGAAACAGGAGAGGAAATTCTTGGGTAGGGCAAAAAAAACATTGCAGGCTAATTCAGAGCTTTCCATCTACAAAAATCGCTTACTATCAGGCGACCGTAGCGAAAATCCGCTAATGGGTCAATAAAAATGGCAAATAAGATAATCAGGGCTTCCTTTAAAATCCCAAGGCACCATAAACTAACATAAGCCTGACAGTATGGGTTTAATTTATTTAACGTGATGGACCGTTTCAGTTAAACTTTAGGTAGAGTATTGGATCCATAGACAAACTACTTCATGTTGTAATTTATTCAAAAACCAACAGGGCTGCAAATGAACATACGAAACTCGCAGTGCCGGATTAGCCACGTAGCAAGAGTAGCAAATGCTACGGGCCCCGCGGACTGGAGGGCCCCGCGCTCAAATAGGTACCTATAGTATATCCTAATTACACCACTTCAACAGCAAGACCTATGTAGAAAATGTTTTGTTTACAAAACTAGTACCAAACTGCAAGTAATTTTATTTTTTTCTTAACGAAATAAATGAAAAAAGATAAATAGTCGGTATTTTGTATGTGTAAGAAAAGGAAAGCGAGTATCTGTCCGCTCGGCTGGTGCCATTGGCGGGCAAACGGAGCCGACGCGAACTGCGCGCACGGCTATTTTCGCCTCAGCTCTAGGTATAATATCTATCACGAAAAATGTTAGTATCAAAATGAACAACAATAATTTGAAATTGTACCACATCTTTTAAATTGAGCGCTAGCCACACACAAGTTATGTGTTGTACTACTTGCACTGCACTAAACACAAGTTGGCAACACTGCAAAACCATTTGGGAAATTCCATGATATTGTCATCGATCGAGCTAGCCGTAACTCGAACAAATAAATTAGGATTCTATTGACTATCAAACAATAAGAAATTGATAAACACTTTCCTTTGACTCAATATAAAAAACTACTAAGCACTTTAAAATGTGCAAATGTGAACTATTTGTGAGAAAAGTTGTCTTGACATTGCTTCAAGTAGATACTGTTTTCGTGATTGACATAGCGCTGTGTGCAATTCATTCAATTATCTTTTTACTGACTTCAAAAAAGGAGGGGGTACTAACATAGTACCCCCTCCTTTTGACTTCGACTGATTGTTTTTTTTTGTATATTCACCGATTACTCCGCCATTTATAAACCAATTTCCAAAATTCTTGTTTTGTTTGAAAGGTTATACTCCCGAGAGGGTCCCCTTTTTAATGAGGTCGGGATCTGATGATGGAATCCTAGGGAAACCGAGGGGAACTTTCGAAAATTGTAGGGGCGAGTAGTGCTACAACTTGCCGATAGTCGAAGTTGACCTGATGATGGAGCCGGAAGACAGTTGAAGGATCTCCTTGATTATTTGAAGTAGTTAAGTATCTTGTGTTTCTTATTGGTGAGCACTTTGCACCAAATAGGTCGTGACTGCCATTAGGGGTCTGATGATGAGAACGAAGGACAGCTTATAGGGAACTCCTGAACGGTTCACAGTAACTACCTCGTGTTTGCACTTAATTCATTTATATTGATGAGAACTTTGCACCTATATGGATTACGTAAGTATATTGAAGGTCTGCAGTATAAATGATGATGGAGACCATTGACAGTCGAGGGAATTCCTCAGCGATTTACAGCACTGAACACTGACTAACTCAGGACTACTACTATTATCGTGATTTTCGGTCTCAAGTTGTCGTCGTCTTCTCTTTCGAAAACCATTATCCTTGCTTGCTCTGCCAAGTGAATCATCCAAGTCATACCAAACAGCAACAGTATTAGAAAAATATTGGTCAGTGCCTCCTAATCATCAAACTAACAATAGCTATATAGGTAAAGATTACACTATTTTTGTTTTGCTTGGCACCGGATTCAAAATTATAAAATGGTTATTAATATTTTTTCTATTCAACTAAGTGAAAACATGTATAATTTCTACAAAAAAATGTTTTTTTTTGCTTTTTAGTTTACTTTTTGAAGTCGGAATATTTTTGTTAAAAATTATTTATTTCACAATCGTCTGATCAAGACCTTAATACGGGATACGCCCTTTATGAATCAATATAGATATGGCTACGTCCAAGCAATGCGATCCTAATTTTCAGATATTAGAGGCAAGAGCCAAAGATTTGACTAACTGTGAATAATACCAGCAACAGACATCACGACGAATCAAGCGAAATACAAAGTACCTACGACCATTTCAGCGGCTCTAATACACTCGACGACTATGTTGAAAATCAAACACCTGGACAATGTTTCGAATTTGAGGTGTTTATTGCCATAATTGATAACGTACTGTCTGCTATAGCGTATGAAAGCATATCATAAAATTACTAGTGATTTTGAAGTATTTCGACTGATAAAATCACATGCAACTGAAGAGATTTTGAAAAAATCGTCAAAGATGTTCAGTGCTTACGAAGATGATTTGGAGAACGGCGAATTAGTGCAGTTCGCAGAGCTGCTGAAAACAGATGTGGCTACTGTAATTGACAGCAAGAAACAGGAGCCTCTGGAACTGCAATTTTATAAACTTTTATTAAATCATTCTTTAGAATCATTCTTTCCCAAATTTAGAAATTGCCTAGCGTATTTACTATCTCTCATGATCACTAACTGCAGTGGCGAACATTCTTTTTCAATGTTGAAACGAATTAAAAATGAATTAAGGAACACTATGGGCCAAGAACGTCTTAAGTTGAATATAGACCATGACTTGCTTAAAAAAGTCGATATTGAAAGTGTAATCGCTAAATTTGTAACAGTTTTGTTTTATTTAATACCCTTTTGAGAACCGATAGCAAACCAAGGGCCCCTTGACAGAATTTGCTACAGGCCCCGCGCTGGCTTAATCCGGCACTGGAAACTCGTAATGGTTAAGAATCGGCGCCGTACGTAGATACCCGCAACACCGATATCTTTTGGGGTTTCTGGATTTGAGTATTATGTATTTTAGGATTTCGTGGAGGGGGAGATGGGGGAGGCTTCCAGTAGTTACTTACATGGAAACACCACACTATGGTTGGTTCAAGCCTATTTTCTGTGAAGCCCCTAACCATCACTCCGGACTAGCTGGCCTCTTTGTGCCGAAACATAGAACTCTTACACGTATAGACCCTTATTGTTACTAAACAGGCATTTTTGAACACGATAAATAAAAGATATTCCACATGTAAAATTATCATTTTTATTTTGTACAATTATTTTAAGGCTTACCTAATAAACTTAAATACTGTTTCTATGCTACTTATAGATCATTCAATCAGCGAAAATATATTATCAAAATACATACATGCACGTAATTTACACTTAATGTAGAAAGAAAAATATTGACCTTACCTGACCAACATTGTTCAGCATACAGCCAAACTCAGGAAGAAAAAAAAAATGGTCGACATCGCGAATTATATTCATTCCCATCTTACTTTGATGCATTATAAACGTGAAAGTTTTTAAATACTAAGGAACTATCGTGAGACAACTTAATTTATTAAAAATAATTTTAATAAATTTAGGGAGGGAGTGTCACACTCTTATTGACTAAAAACCGCCCACTCCTTCTCCAGCTCTAGGCCGAGGCCGAGTTCTCTTATTGCGCTTACCAGCCAGCATAGGTGACGTGATAGCATAAAAATGCGTTGAATTGTTGATATTGTTAAATCATTGACAGCAGATTGTTAAGATGAAAAAGAATGAAAAATGAATGAAAAAATAAAAGCAGCCTATCTAGCAGGGGTTGATAATAAAGAAGATGTTAATGATGGCTCGCGTGACAATGAAGATGAAAGAACTCGCAAACATATTTTCAAAAACATTTTTGAATGTCTTTGAGATTGACACATTTGGTAACACCCTGTACACAGCAATATTCTTATATAGAATGTTTGCAACAAATCTATTTGAATGTAGAAGTTACATACAGTTGTTCTTTACCTAGACTTTAATGAGCTGCCCTTTCTCTTAAAGAAACACCGAGTTTCTAGATAACTAGAAAAGAGATTAGTGGCTTATATACCATCTTGGGACTGAGAAATGATCCAACGTAAAATTATAAAATTTTAGTATCACATACTACCAGGGCTGGCCCGTTCGGGGATTTCCTACTTTGAAGCCATGAGCTTTGCTATCCGGTTTCTTATACAGACTGTTGGCTTATATACCATCTTGGGCTTGAGAAATGATCCATTGTAAAATTATATAATTAAAAAAAATACTATTAGGTACATTCTACCAGGGCCGGCTCGCCCATATGACGAACTGAGCAGTCTTTCTAGGAACCAATTTCTAGAGGGCTTCTTATACTTTGAAACCATGAGTTTTGCCGTCTGGTACCTTTAGAAGTTATTGATATTCTATTACTTCTATCCTAGTCGAACGTAGTTGGCAATGCGCCTTTTTAATTAGTCATTCCCGAGTATTTCTTTGCGTCCCATACTTACTCACAATTAGTATAGGTACCATATAATATATAGGACAGGCGCCATAGTTGGGACTTGCTCGATTCAAATTTACTGTAGGACGGCACTGTATAACAATATCATATACTATGTTATTACCAAGAACTCTTGTCATCCACAGAAAGGCTTTTAAAGAACTAAAATAATCACTATTCCAGCTAGTCATTGAGTTCAAGTTGCTTTGTCCTCATGATGGTAAAATATCAAATAGCTTTTTTTGTCTTAATTCTGAGTATTAAGAAACGCTTATATAAACTCTATTCTAACTTAATATAAGGTTCAAGTTGCATAGCTCTCATGATATCTCCAGTGACGGAACAGCGTCCAGCTTGTATTATGACCCTGGCGTCTTCTCGGCCGGTGACGAGCTGCTTGAAGTAGTGCTCGGTGAGGGTGAAGGTGGAGTCAGGATCCTCGTCTGGTTCTCCTTCGTAGACTTTCACTTGGTTGAGGTCTAGTGCTGTGGATGTAAGAAAAAGGCATGTAAAAATATTGAGCTTAATGTCTTCCATTAAGCTAATGTCGGAGGGTTCATTTGTGTTAGGTGTAGTACCTATATCATTCGGCTTCATCTAGTTTTTCACATATAATTTGACGTGTAAAAGTGCCGTTTTATGGCCTATTTGCAAAAATAAATTCATTGTTTCGTTGTTTCATATACGATTAGATCGGGCAAATTATTATTATTTAAGTAGTTAACGGTCCATCCACATATTCATCGTCCCATCCAGAAAGTACATCTCTTTATGGATGTGCACGTGTTCTGCAATTTCACATCGAAAAAACATTAAATAGAAACAATAAAATCACGCGAGGTAAGGTGCGTTTGGCGCCATTCGTCAAAGGGGTCGTCGGCGATCGGCGTGTATCACTAGAGCGGGTATGAACTCATCAACAAAAGAATTTATCACTTAGAACGCCATGTCGGACAATGCTGTCCGACGCTAGCGGAGGATAAGCCTTCAACAGTTTTTGTCGGCAGTCAAAAGTATTGTACGCAATTAGTACCTTTAGATATATTAAATTTTGAATGTGAGATCCCGAAGCTTAGGACCCCTTCCACCCCTTGTCAAAACATGTCACTTTGTCGACTCCCCACCCCATTTACGTGTGACGTACTTTATGTATGGCCCTTAAGTAACAAGGATGTTTTGTTTCTTCTTGTTCTTGGCCCTGGTTTAAGACTTCTCCCGACTTGGGTGGGGCGAAAGACAGTAGCAAAAAAGCTATTCCGTTCCTTCTCCTGCTTAACGACTTGCTTACCGAACTCTGAAGAGAGAAAGAAGAAGAGAAAGAATAGCTGTAACTGCAGTTTATGCACGTGAGTTAGTCATTATTTTCAATAAATTTAGTATGAGTATGTAGTATACTATTAAAAAACATCTTGTTCATGGCAAGGTTAAGAATCGACGAATAATAAAATTGTAACAAAAAAAAAATCGCTCATAAAGATGTCTTTGTGAAGTATCGTATCTTTGTATAATAAGTATTCATATGTATATATTTTTTTATAATATAGTTATTATTTTGTTTCAGTTTAAGTTTCTTTTTTTACATTCTTGCATACCTATTTGTTATCATTAGTTATTTTTTTTCTCTTCCGTTACACACTGTGTCTTACATTTTAATTATGTATTTCCTGTCTCAAGTCTACTGGAAGAAATTCCAACATGAATAAGTAGCACCTATGTACTCTAATTTTATATACTATATATATTTTTATCTGTGCTGTTTGTGTGTACATAAATTATTAAATAAATAAATATCGAGGAGGTAGATATAACGTTACTAGCTTTCCAAAACTTACTCCAAGAATATACGCTGGTTCCTTTGATGATGTTGAAGAGGAACACGCCACCTAGTGCCCTGGCCTTGTCGGGGTCGACCGCCGCCAGCCGCGCCTTGATCTTCTTCACCAGGTCCGCTTTTTCGGGTTTTGCTGCATGCTCACTTTGTGAGGCACCCTGGAATTGAAAGTGTAAAAGTTATCAGCCAATTATATAACATAAAAAGGACAAAGTTATCCAATAGTCGGTTATATTTGTCGAAGCTTCTATGATTGATAGGATAAAAAAAGTTTAGCAATTGAGACCACGTTTATACGGAATCTACTAAAGAAATTGGTACGTCCTAAAGAAATTGTATTTAATTTGAAAACAGACTGATGAAATGGTGGCTTTGAGAGGACTGTCTAGCCCATGAAAGGCGTTAACAGTTGTGGGCCCAGGTTGCCTAGTCAGCATGTCTAGCTGTCCTAAAGGCATTATTTTTATACAGGGTGTAAAAAGACACTTAACAAAGCCGTTAACTACGCATACTACAGTTCTAACTAAGTAGCTCTCCGCTAAAATTATCATTGGGAAACGACTTTTATTTTTAGGTATCAAAAAATAATAATTTTATTGCGCGCAATGTAAAGCAAACGGGCTTCGTGTCATTGTGTCCGTAGGTTCACAGCTTAGCATTAAAACGCTGTGATAAGTACGTAGGTCGACGTTTTACTTCGCAACAACTGATGTTTTTTGTGCGGGTCTGCATTTATTTATTACGTACATTGCTGTTCGTAACTTCAAATGCGTAATTTATTTATGTTTGTTTGGAAAAAAGTTGTGTAATAATACTTAGAATTCGATTGCGCAAAAAAACAAAAATTAAAAATGCATCTTTGACCTTCAATATCTCGAGAACCCGTGGAGTCCCGTGGTCTTAAAGAAAAAAATGATCCAAATAATAGGTAGAATACGTGGCTTTCGGCTTCGTTAAGTGTCTTTTTACAACTTGTATAGGCATTATTTATTTTATTATTTTATTTATTATTGCTTAGAAGGTACATTTTACATTATAAAAAGTATAAAATGTCCAACAAAACTGTATACACAGACTAGGTCATTGTCATGACTAGGGTCTACATATAACAGGACGTTTGCCCTTCAGCCAGATCTTGTAGACTAACAATATCCACATTGTGGTGGTGACTGGGTGCTAAAGATCAAGCTAATGAAGTGTAGTGTAGAACTTATGTTCAGTGGTGGACGGAAATGGGCTGATGGTGAAAGTAATTATACTGTTCGAGATGCAATAGCGAATGAATGCACATCCAGTAAGAGCGTAGTGGCCATCCCATGCTGCACCAACAAATCCGAGTTAACACTAATGCGATGTGCAAATAGGTGCGAAAATCCGCACTAGGCTCTCTATTTGGTAAATTCAAATTGAAAGTGTATGTGCAAAGTACAGTGTAAATTTTTTTTATAGTTGAGGGTCAGAGCTTCCTTGACTTATTAATTTGTAGGTACTTAAAAAGTAACCAAGGACATTCTTTTTAGGTTTTTGAATTTGTATAAGAATTTTACACATTTTCCCACTGGAAGAGCGCAATAGCACTTTTGACCACGGATCGTACAAACTTTCCTCTCATATGTGTAATTGGTAATATCACAGAAAATAATGTTTCCACCACTATCAACCTGCTTGTGCCTCCTACATGGGAAGGGAAAAACTAGCCTAGAGTGTCAGACTCTTACTGACTAAAAACCCCCCCGTTCCTTCTCCTGCTGCGGGCCGAGGTCGCGGTGCCTCATTGAAGTTAGTACACAGCATGCTATTCGATCTAGAGATAGATTATTGTCTTTTTTGTGGAGGGTAAATTATCCTATGTTTTTCCCTTTACAGGGTGGGAAAAGGGAGTGACAGACTCTTATCTATTGAGTAAAATATAACCTCAGTTTCGACTCTTACACCCGGTTTCCGAAAGGCCGATCAATGTTAAAATCAATTTAATCTCTTGTCAAGTCATCTGATTGGTTGACTGAATTATCAACAACCAATCAGATGACTTGACAAGAGATTTAACAGGAGATTAGTTAATTTTAGCGTTGACAAGCCTTTCAGAAACCGGGTGTTATTCTCGCCATCTCTCCTAATCCCTAAAAATCCGAAACCCTTTATCCCCAAAAGGCCGGCAACGCACTCGTAACTCTTTTCTTTCGTTTACCATAAGGTACTTAATGAGTCTGCTCGTTTGTCGACCTATTTTATGAAAAATATTGGAACACTTTTATTATGTTTCAGATTTAACCTCGAAATACATTTAAAATTGACTGAATGTCATGTCAGTCAGTAGTTAGTATGCAACCGGGCGAGAAGGATCACCGCCTCTTTCCGTATCATAGTTTTCAATGTATCGCTAATTGAATTATTCGAAATTGGAATTCAATTGTACGGAATGATGTAGGTAAAAAGGTATTTTTAAAAATGGAAGAAGAATGAAATTGTTTTTTTTATGGACTGAATGTTATTTGATGCCCTTTATTATTATCTACAGTCCAAGTTATTATTGATTTTATCGGTTCGTACCTAATAATGTGAAATGTTTTAGTTAGATGGCGCTTACAGTAAGGATTGTTTTAGTCAATACAATGAGTATTCTTAGGGAGACTAGATCACGTTACTTTTTTTAACCTAAATTAAGATACAGTTTATTGTGCAGATGGATAACGACGTAACACCACTTTGTAAGTCAAGCAGAATTTAATCGATATTCTATTTTATTTACTCTCCTAATGTTTTGCATTAATTAAGCAATATGAATACAATAAGTGATGTAATATGAATTTTCAAGATCAAAGTTACCATCATTTATAGTCATGACAATTAAAAAATAAACGACAACATAACATAATCTAATTACCATTTTAAAATTTAAATTCAGTTTGTGACTCATTTGTGTGAATTTATTAAGTTTTGTCATAAAAATATTTAAACGTCTTAAGTTGGCCTTTTACGGATTGGGGGAGGGGAAGGCTGAACGAATTGTTTATAAATGCAAATAAACCCTACAAATTAGTGTTTTTCTTTCTAAATTGTTTTTAAAGAAGTTATCCATTGATTTTTCTTTTTAACATCGGCCAGTAACTGATTTAATCAATGCATATAAAATCTGCCTGATACGACATGCACCACGGTGATCGGTAAACGCTTGAATTTGTACAGATATCATCTACATACACTATGCACTGAACACATTATTGACCGTGGTAGCTAAGTCGCCAGCTATTATTTTAAAATCACAAACATTGAAAACATTCGAATCACCGCGTCAAAGTTCATTTATTTCAATTAGACCACAGTAGGCACTTTTGAACGTCAAGCAAGCAAAAAAGGAAAAAAAGTATATAACAAGAGCTTTAAAATTAAGCGTGTCAGTCTGTCCGTCTGTCCTCTAGTGAAGCTATTTGCTCGTTCCAAAGTGTAGATTCCTATGGAGAAGAACGAGCAAGAAACTCAATGGTTACTCTTTTTCAAGTTTTACAATACATTTCTTTGTTACATCATTTAGAGAACAATGTGACACTAATGTTCAGGCAAAAAGTACGAAAAAGAAGTGAACCTCAAGGACAACATATTTAAACAGCCTGGAGCTGACCAGTCCCAATAGGCGGCGCCCGTTCACGAACAGGACACGTACACCAGCACCGCCCAACTCAACCATATTATAGGGAATTGGGCGATCCAGTGCCCGTGCCACCGCCAATGAGACCTCTGAGTGAGCATGACAGCTCCCAGCCGACACAAGTAGTACCTATATTCTACAAGTCTTACTTAATTATAATAGGTTACAGGGCATTCACATTTACAAAAACTTAGAAGATCATCAACAATTAACAACATAGTGTACAAATTAATAATTAAAATCAAAAATTCCTCTAAACATCCTGTGGAGTAGGACCAGCTAGCCTCCAAGCATTTTTATCTTGTATATAATCATATAACCAATTTCAAAAACAGAAGAATGTAAAATCACAACTCAATGTTAGCAGCACAGAATTGAAATTTAAAAAAAGAACACCTTATTTGAAATGTTGTGTTCTTTTTTTTTAAACGTCCAAAGACAATTTCCTATACTACTTATTCACGTATTAAATAAGGTTGTATAACTTACCATAATGTCGTGTGTTGGTCGTGTGTCAAGTCTCGTTGTCAGGTAAGCAGTGACTCGGTCAGATGCGTCGAGCTTTCACTCTCGGATTGCAAAACATTTTGTGTACGCTCCAATTTCGTGGCCATACTTTCTGTTGGGTTTAGGACAAACCTGTTTTGAGATATGCACCTCTGCATGAGCGTTTTTAACAAAACTGCATGGTGAAGTATGTAGATATTAAATTATTTTATAATCGAATTAGTAGATGGTCAAAAATCTGTCTGTCTTTTTATTTAATTATCGTAATAAATTGTTGTAATGTAAATTAATTTGATGTTGTGGTGGCCTGGAGTTTCTCGCACCTGCTTCTTATGCATGAGGCTGCGGGTTCGAAACTTGGCAAGTACCAATGTGACTTTTCCCGAGTTATGTGTACTTCCTATGATTATTTAGACACCACAGATATACGGTGAAGGGAAACATCGTGAAGAAACATGGACTTACAATTTATAATTATAAGTTTTAAATAGTCAATCCATCTTAAGCAAGTGTGGTGAATAATGCCTTCTCCGTGTGAGAAGAGGCCTTTACTCGGCAGTGGCCACTTAAAGGCTGATGATGATGATGTGAATCATTTTATACAATGATTTGTTAAAATGGAATAGCCTAGGTACGTAAAATAATGTCTTTGATAATTCTCATTGGTAATGTATAGAGCCATTACTAATTCCCTAGATAGCCTAGTCACCCTACCATAGGCATTGAGAAGATAACGCATAAGTGTACTTTACTTACATTCAGTTACATCTACCGGCAAACAATCGTTTCACTTTTTATTTTACAATTCTTTAGTATAATTGAAACAGCAGTTACCTAAGTGGATACTCGTATGTACTTCGAATTAACTCTGTTATTATAATGTTATTGTTGTTTGGCGGCTTGGATGGAATGATTTTTACCGGTTAATATAGTGATATAATATGTATGTAATTAAATCTATACTTCTGTACTAATATTATAAAGAAGTAATTTGTAAGTTTGTATGTAAGGGGAAATCTTTGGAACCGCTGGTCGGATTTCCATAATCATGTCACTGATAAATAGCTACAATGTTCCTATAATTTTTACCTCTTTATAATATAAGTATAGATTAGTTTCAATACAATCTCACAGATTAGAACAAAATCTGTTCTGCTTTTAGGATACTGTGTTTTCCATTTCTGGATGCTTTTTGAATTAATATTCAGCTTTTTTAAGAGGGCAATATTCATAATGGAAAAAGATAAGGACCATCGATGCTTGAATTAGGTACCTTTAAAATATTTAAAAAGCTATCGTTAAACATTACATAACTAATTTTTAGTTAAAGATAACTGCTATAACAGAGAAAGCGGGTCATTACGACAAATATTTACCTATTGACACAAGCCAACACCTAACGACCTGCTATTGTCTAAAACCTATTTATTTTGCACTTTGCAGAGTGTTAATGTAGCTCTTATTGCTATGGAAATAAATGTGAAGAATAATGATCTTTGAAGAGTTCGTAATATTTGCCGGGCACGCACGTATATTTCACATTAAGTATCATTATGACTACTGATGCAGTAACTGCAGGTAAGTACTTTACTCAGTAGATACATTTTTTTATTTTTAAATAAAACGTTTAAGTGTAAGTGTGGGAGAACCATGCTTCGGCACGAATGGGTCGGCTCGACCGGAGTGATACCACGGCCTCACAGAAAACCGGCGTGAAACAACCACAGCCTTGTGTTTCGCCGTGTAAGTGAGGTTACCGGAGGTCCAATCCTTCCCCTCCCCCAATCCCTCCTCAATCCCTAAATCTCCAAATCCCTAAGCCCTAAAAGGTCGGTAACGCACTCGTAACTTCTCCGTGGCGAGTGTCCATGGGCGCCGCTGATTGCTTACCATCGTAATCGGTCTGGTTGTTTGCCGATCAAAGCGACCGAAAAAAAGCGTAGCTCCACATTAAGATTTTCTCCTGTATCGTGGATGCGTTAACAAACATATAATTTCACATACCTACACATCTTACATACAGACCTGAAACAACAATTTACTGAAGAATTTATTAAGAACTGGATCACTCCTCGTTGCATGGCAGCTAGTTGCCCAGCTACCGAGCTAGCCGTGGAGTTGTCGTTACCTATTTGACGATTTCCTACCACAAAAAAAAAACATACTTTACACCTATAGAAACAAGTTTCTGTCTGACACTGTTAAAGAAAATCATGGCACACACTTAAATATCATACCTCACCTTTCTAGACTCCCAGCAAGAAAAGGGAATTCTTATAAAACTTATTTACATTTATTGGAAGACACACACATCGGACCTACACTTTGTATCGTTATATTGGGCCTGTTACCAAGCGTGCACTGCAAGAGAAACCTCATAAATAACAGAATCATTCCGTTTTCGTCCCTATAGCATTAAATCATGTGAATCCTCAATAAATGTGTGTGTGGAATATTTGCATGCTCGAATAAGCAGTTAATGGTCACTGTCGGGCCTCAGGCGTCATATGTTCAAGGATTATATGTCCGTGCATCGGAATCTGGTGCAAGCCAAAGCCTTAAAGAAATCCAGCGGGAAACAACACATGGGCTGTGTTGCAGTGGGGTGATGTTGGAGGTCCAATCCCTCCCTCTCATGGCCGTCAACGCATTTGTAACGTCACTGGTGTTGCGGATGACAACAAGCTGGTCTGATGGTTGGAGGTCCAATCCCTCCCCCTCATGGCCCTCAACGCATTTGTAACATCACTGGTGTTGCGGATGACAACAAGCTGGTCTGATGGTGATTCGTCTCCTTCTATGCCTTCTTATGGGTGTCCAAAAAAAGCATTTTGCGATCGCTTACCCCTTTACCTTAGCCCACAACACATTATTATTCTCGCGTTTTCACTTTGAGTTTTTTTGTTTACCGATACTCGCTTGAGTATTAAGAAAGATTATTCGGCTCAAAGACCCTTTAATTTATTAAAATGATGTAAAAATAATTAAAAATGTCAGTTGATCGCCAATGGTTATAACAAACCGAGAGATAATAAGTTCTTTATTGTATGAAAGATAAATTGTTCTTACTCCGTGGATAAAACCTGGTAATATCTTTTAAGTGCACAAGATCAGCACGTTTTGTCTAAACCGCCATCTGTTAGCAAAGCACTGAATCAACTGTTGTGTTACTTTGATTAGATTGTTGATTAGTTCTCTGTTAACAAGATAGATGTCACTGTGTTAAATTATTGCTTTTAACAATATCACACCGGTCATTACGTTAGTTATTGAGATGGTATAAAACGGGTTGTAACTCTAAGGTCGCAATCCCTATATGAAAGATACTTAGATTTATTTAATATTGTTGTCACCCTGTCTCCGTCAAAAGAACAGGCCGTTCTTAAGGATGACATCTACTCTTAAATCATCATACAGCTAGGTGTGTAGTACCACATAGTGAGTACTTACATAGTATAAACAACGACATAGATATCAATCTAGTATTCCAGACAATTACAATTTCAAATGATCTTCATTTTGTTTGTATTGCTACGTTCTCGCCGGAGACATGAATAATTGTATCTCCTTATTTAAATCCAAATATATGGAAATATGTACAATTCCACAAACATTAGTATTTGTATTCACCTTTATAGGGTCTGTGATGAATTGGATTAGAGTAAAAATAAGAATAAATTGTAAGTAGCATTTAGGTAGGTAATTACAAAAAACTATGCGGATTAAACACTACTTACTACTATTAAGAAAAAATAAAAAATAGTAGGTAACACATTATACTATGCACTTTTCGAGACAACTTTATTGACGCAGGAATAAGTAGATAATACATGAGATCGGTTGCAGCGTTGGCATGTAAGTTGTGATTATGAGCCCCGTTCATGGCTTGAAACTAGTCGAGCGCTCTACTTTTTATTTATGTATTCCTGATATACAATTGCATATCGGAGGACTTAATGCTAAAAGCATTTTCTACCAGTCTACTTATGTGTGAGTGCCATATTATACAATTAATTTAATATACTATATCTTGGGGGCCAATTTCTTTTGTCACTAAAAACAAATACCTAAATATCTAGTAGCATCGTTTAGTTGATGCTGTGGTAGAATAGCTCTCAGAATTACTTAATGCCGGCCACATAGTTATGAAACTGCACAATCGGCCACTCTGCAGCGTTTGAGTAGAATTCACGAGTGCACGCAACTCAAGCACTTTGCAACTTTAGACAGCCATGTTAATTTGGACAGTGTTATATCCAATGACGTATTATATATAGACACGTCATGAAACAACATCGCGGCGCTTAAAAACGGCGAAAATACTAGATAACTACTTCTACGAGTAAAGAAAGGGAAAGAAAATATGACATCGTATAGTGGAATGCCTTTGCTAGAGGGAGATAAATATATACATCTTCAGTTATGCCGACGGCACGTGACTATACCTTCATGCGCCGGCCGCCATAAGATGGCGGGCGCCGGCGTCGAAAAAAATAAAATTAAAATAGGTTGTTTGTTGAACTTACGCATGAAATGACACATTTTTGTCTTTAACTTTTGGAGTATAATTTGTACATCGTCTGAACACACACGACGACATGCTTTCTTTGTGTTTCGCACAGGTTTACACACGATATAAATTAAAAACAAACGTAGCGTCGCGCGGCAGGTTGGTGCGTAACTAAGCGCGATGTTGTCAATTGCCTTCATTTCATGTTGTCATTTTAGAGCGCGGACAACGTATCTATAGTTTTATACATCATTGGTTATATCACACGTTTTTAAGAGGTAGACGGCGGTAAACATTTTATGCAATAAAGCGACATTGAAAATCTCAGTAGTCAAGTTGTTTTTTAATTAAAAAGTGTGTTTTTTATATGATAGGACGGAAAACGAGCAGGCGAATAACCTGATAGTAGGCCATCTGCGCCGCCTATAGACACAAGCAACACCAAAGGTTATGAGTCCTTTTGGATTAGGGTTTCGGAGATCTAAGGGTTTGGGAGGGGGAAAGGATTGGAGCCCAATGCAGTCGTTGTTTCACGCTGGGTTACTGTAAGGCCAGTGTCCAGCCAACCCATTTGGATTTAATCGAAAATTGGGGAAAAGTGAGTGCCATATTACAAGTTGCAAGCATCATAGGTCGTTAGCCGGGGCTGCGGGGTAAGCGCAATGAGGCACCGCGACCTCGGCCCAGAGCAGGAGAAGGAACAGGGGGGTTTTTAGTCAGTAAGAGCCTCACACTCCCTCCAGAGTCTCACACTCCCTCCCGTCCGGCCCTGGACGGGAGAAGTCATTGGATGATTTTCAAAAAAAAAAGGATCATAGGTCGTGGTGCGAATATTTCATCTGACTGTGCGGATTAAAGGACCAAATCCTGTTTTAGAAGCAGTGTAGTTCGAACCACAGCTGGACTAGGGCGTGAAATAGCACGTCACTGAGTTCGTTCTTCAGACATCTGCATACGCAAAGAGAGCACTGTTGCAGGATCAGTGTACGGCTAAGTTTAGCTTGGCATATATCAATTAATTTAGTTGCCTTCAAATTGATCAGTCAAAGCGCTGTTCATAATTTTATCGCTATCCTAAGACAATATGTAAGATACCAGACACTGTACAAAGCCGATACGACACTGAAAGCATTCACAAATAAAACAAACACGTCTCAAATAGATACGCCAACATTTGCTACTTATATTTTAATTCTATCAAGTCTTGACTTACCCACCAAAATACAATTACTACACCCGAAAATCAACATCAAAAAAAAAATCACCCTATGTTCTCAGTCATAAGGACGAAGAAAAAATTGCAATAGTTTTCCCGCTCGAACGTATAACTTTGTCACGCTAGGTTATTTGACTAGTCCTAAACAAACGCAGGCCACTTCCTTGAGTCGTATTTAACATGTTGCCAATAAAAAAAAGTTGTTTGGAATACGTAATGGATTTCTTGTTTTCCTTTCTGGCTACTTCGAGGAGTTTGTGAACTGTGTTTATTCGATACTTGTGTTTAACTTATACTGTTATTGGTAATGGCAACTTTGTTTTATGAAATAGCTTAGGAGAACTGCGAAAGACCTTATACTTGTCGGAGTAAGTTTGTTGGGGACTGAGTAATCTTGTACGGTCCAAGGTTTACATATCCTTGTTGACAAACTATGCCTACACATTGATTAGGGTAAAAAGAACTTTCGTAGTTCGTAATAAAGCTTCATCTGAATTATAGATCAAGTTTATTTGAATTCAATCGTAGTCGGATCTTGTGTCCAGTCTTGGATCGGACCCAAACCACACCTAGTATGAAACAGAACTAGCCAGGGGTGTCTATTACACATTCCTGACTGGCCCATACATATGGGGTAACGTTCAATTTTACGTTCATTTTACCATACGTTCGTTGAGAGATATTGGATATGAAAGTCTTTGGCTCCCTCACCGTATGTTCATCAAAGGCATGTTCTCAATCAGAGTGCCGTCTCATACATTCACTTGAATCTTTTGACATATTCAAATGGCTATTGGCCTTTGACTTTCAACGTTTGAGAGATGTTTCCAATTCATTATGAAATTCTACAGGTTTAGGAGGTAAAATAACATGCATGTTTCCCTCTGAAGTATTGAGTAAAATTGTTTCATCGCTATTTTTCTCCGAAATTCTGCCTTTAATTAGTTAGTAATTAAGGAAGAAATTGTTTCAGAAACAACCTTTGATTGCAATACCAAAATAAGGTAAAATTACGTAACTGAATATATGTATTGAAGAATAAAATAAGAATGTCACAGGAGAAAATGGAACTTGCGCAAATAACCTGGAAATAAAACGTAATGAATGCACAGAGGGCTATAATTAACTGACACGTACTAAAAAGATAATAGACATTGATATTAGGAA